AGTTTCGCTAAAATGAAAAAATCAGCTTTTGAATTGTGAAGTTGAGCATGCGTGACTTTCCATGTAATGTTAAAGATAAACCTCACAGGTGCTGCTAGGGGCCTACTTCTGAGCATGTGGGCCCTGGGGCCCAAATGCTTAGGTTCGAGTCCTGCTCTATCACTTATCAGCTGTGAGCCTGTCACTGGTTCCCTAACTACTCTCTGTGTTCCGTTTCTGCATCTGTAAAATAAGGGAAGGATTACAGGTATCTCAAATGGGTGTGGTCTGGATCTAATGGGATGGAGAGGTGTTAAATCCTTAGCATGGTGCCTGGTAGTAGGTGCTTAATAAATGTTAGTATCATTATTTTCAATGTTACTGACTATGGTTAGGTCCATGGTCAAGGTTACATGATAGATGAGTCATTTTCAATGCTTTGCCATAGCTATATGTCACTCTTGTAATGTCCATTAGAATGCAAACAGCTCTGCCTGATTCTCTCCTGGTGATGGGAGAGAGATGGGAACCAGTTCTACACTCGGATGTGAGGGGGATTACATGATATGTGCTGGAATGAGCCGTCCAATTAACTTTCTGTCACAGAGATGGACAGATGAGACTTATTTTACAATTAAGAATTGTTGTTTTGGATATGATAATACAACGTTTTCAGGGCTGTGGAAAGAACAAAATGAGATTAACAGTAACCCTCTGAATAGCTGTGATTTTTGTGCCCTTATGATGTTCCATTTCTCACGTTTTAAATCATTTTATTATTACAAAATAGTTTATTCCTATATTCCCAATTTCAGGAGGCGAAACAGACCCAGAAAAGTTACTTTGCCAAAGTCACAGAGCTTGTAAGTAGTAGATGTGGAATTCAAACCTAAATCTAGGTCCTGACCTAGAATTTGAATAAGGTAATACGAAGAAAATAGCAAAGTAGTTGGTATGCTCAATACTCAGATCCTTGTCAATTTCCCTTCCATTATTTTCTCTTTATTAATTTTTTATGGATGTGACATTGCTCAGAGATCAGAGCACTGAGAACCATCCCAGGGAACTATATCAAATTTCAGTTTGAATAAGAGTAAAAATTTTTTGAAATTCTAATTTTGGAGAGAAAGATTATTTTTTGCTTTTATATGGATTATACCTGGTTTAGAAGGTCATAACTGATTTTTTCCATAGGTTATTGGGGTACAGGTGGTGTTTGGTTATATGAGTAAGTTCTTCAGTGGTTATTTGTGAGATTTCGATGCACCCAACACCCGAGCAGTATATTCTGCACGCTTTTTGTAGTCTTTTATCCCTCACCCTCCTCCCACCCATCCCGCCAAGTCCCCAAAGCCCATTGTATCATTCTTATGCCTTTGTGTCTTTATAGCTTAGCTCCCACATATCAGTGAGAACATATGATGTTTGGTTTTCTACTCCTGAGTTAACTCACTTAGAATAATAGTCTCCAGTCTCATCCAGGTCACTGCGAATGTCATTAATTCATTCTGTTTTATGGCTGAGTCGTATTCCATTGTATATATATATATACACACACCACAGTTTCTTTATCCACTTGTTCATTGACGGGCTTTTGGGTTGGTTCCACGATTGTGAATTGTGCTGCTATAAACATGTGTGTGCAAGTATCTTTTTTGTATGACTTATTTTCCTCTGGGTAGATACCCAATAGTGGGATTGCTGGATCAAATGGTAGTTCTAATTTTAGTTCTTTAAGGAATCTCCACACTGTTTTCTATAGCAGCTGTTAGAAAGTCATAACATTTTTTTGACTGGCATCCTCCCCTTCTCCACCTACCTACCCATTCTGCAGAACAATGACCATGGCTTTGTAGAAGTGTACACTAACCTTCGGTAGGGCACGGAGACAGAAAGCCCTGCTGGACCCCCTGATGAGGTGAATTAGTAACTGATTCAGTAGTCTCTGTAAAATCAGGCTCACAACTAAATAAATAACCCTGACCGAACTAGGGCTTCAGGGTGTCTCATTCTACCACTAAACAGAAAGCACATGCAATGTGCAGAAAACAAAAACACAACTGGACCTCTGTCTCCATCAGCTTTTAACACTTAATCTTTGTTTAAAGTAATACATCCACGTGGTTGAAAAAAAAAGTCCAACACTACCAGAGGGCGCAGAGAAAAGTAAGTCACCCTCCCCCTCTAGAATACTAATCCCGCAAGTATACTCCCCAATGACAATTTTATAATTCCAAAGAGACTTGTTGCTTACAGGAGCATATATATGTAATGTCCCCACACCTCCACACTTTTACACAATGATAGCAGAATGCACCCTCTATCCTGTTCCTTGACAACTTCACTTAACAATGTGACTTGGAGAGCTTCCACATTAAAACCAAAAGCAATACCTTGTTTTCAAGGGCTGCCTAATATTCCATTATAAAGCTGTGCCATCTGCTATTGATGGTCATTTAGGTTGTTTCTGGTCTTTTACTAACTAAGGTTGTTTCAGTAAATCACTTTGTATGAAGTATATGATTCCAAGCAACTCAATCTCTCTTGATTTTTATTTGCAAGCTTATGTTGTATAACTTTCTGACAACACAAGGAATTGGCCAGGAGACAAATAAATTCCATGGAAATATAGAGGCTTTTTTTAGAGCTTGTGTGCACATCAGATGTTTCCACAGATACTTTCTGTTTCCTGTGTCTCATTGTTTCTCATGTTGTTTTGGACTATGTCCTCAAGGCTCTTCTTGGGTCATTTTTCCAGGTGCCCAGTGAGTGATGGATGGATACTGTTTGCAAGATTGATTCATATGGCATTTTTGTTTGGCTTTTGACAGGTTGTTTATAAGAATAATGACATCCGTCTGGAGCTGTCTCGCCTGGCACGGATTGGGGACACCAAGATGAAAATCTATGGTGAAGTTGTGTTCAAGTGTGAGAATGTGGCCACACTGGACCCCATCAACTTCGAGACCCCAGAGGCTTACATCAGCTTGCCCAAGTGGAACACTAAACGTATGGGCTCCATCTCCTTTGACTTCCGCACCACTGAGCCCAATGGCCTGATCCTCTTCACTCATGGAAAGCCCCAAGAGAGGAAGGATGCTCGGAGCCAAAAGAACACAAAAGTAGACTTCTTTGCTGTGGAACTCCTCGATGGCAACCTGTACTTGCTGCTTGACATGGGCTCCGGCACCATCAAAGTGAAAGCCACTCAGAAGAAAGCCAATGATGGGGAATGGTACCATGTGGACATTCAGCGAGATGGCAGATCAGGTAGGAAGAGGCAGGATGTATGACTGGGACTCAGGAAAGCTGTAGCTCCTCAGTTTGTTTGTTGCCTTTATTTTCTAAAAACTTTTGCCCTTGCCTGCTTTTTGATGCTTTGGCTATTCTCTTTAATGGCTGTTGTAAAATTATGTTTCTGAAAAGATACCTGCCTCATATGGCTCGTATCCTCCACTCTTCTCTCCTGTCACTCACCACACAATTGTCAGTGATCGCTCTACAGTGCTGGAGCTAAGGATAGTTTTACAAGTAGCATTTCTACTGCTACCAAAGCGACTGTCATGTCACTGGTGTGATCCACCCCATCCCCCATTCTTTGCTTCTTCTTTTCCTCATCACCAAGGAAACAAATTATGACATCACAGATGCTGCTTTATGTGATTATTCTGTGGGATAAACTTCACTGTGCAAGAGTTTATGCAACAATACACCCTTCAATAATTGGCAAGGGTCATGTTGCACGGAGAAATTATGACAAGAAACGCAAAGGCAAATTGATTTTTCCTGAAGACATATTCAATTTAAAGCCTTCCTTTGGTATAAAAGCCTGTATTTCACTCTTGGTTCAGACCTCACTGACTCTCCCTTCCTCTTCATAACCTTTTACATTTGGTTTAAATGGCTTTGTTTCTGCAACTGCAGATCAAACAAGCTAGCCCCAGGCAGTACATAGCCACTCTGGAACAGTAACAAAGTGGGGGTGGGGCTGGGGCACAAATAGGGGTTTTTGATTGCCTGGACAGTCTGCCTCGCTTTCTGTGGACGATGTGTCAGTGAAGGTCACATTCTGTGCTATGAGAAAGGGCATTTTCCCAAGAGCAGTAATTAGAGTATTAAGAGTTTTAGACTTATTTCCTGATTCTCCATTTAGGTAGGATATACTCAAGGAGGGTCTTGGCTTCATGTGCCATATTATAGAGATTCACTCTCCTGATGAACATTAAAAACTCTTTATTTGGATATTTTCTTTCTAGGTTCTTTTGGCCAGTAAGAGAGCAATAAATTCCCCCAAAAGGCTGAAGCTGGGAATGACTGTGCTTTGGTGGGATGACTTTCCTGCGTAATTCCAAATCTAGACTGATGGCAGAGACAGCAACATTGCCCTTAGGAAGAGCTGGATGGGTTCTTTGCAGAGGACAGACGGGTGGCAGATTGCAGCCCTGGATATTTTATTGCCCAGTAGGAATCTTTATTGGTTGTCTGAAATCTGATCAGAACCAAGAGGCTTCAAATTAAATGTGCTCGTTGAGCAAGAATGAATAGTATGTGCCTTTTTAAACAGAAAAACACTCCAAAATTAATTGCTTTGGAGGCTAAATCTCCCCCGCCTCTTTTTTTCCTTCTTTTCATTCTCTTTCTCTGTTTTTCAGTAAAATGTCAGCAAGGGCAGAGTCAGAAAGCTGTTCCAAAATTATAAGGAAACACTGCAGTTGGTTTTTAAGATCATGTGTTTGGGATCTCTGAGGTTAGGTCATGGTGGACGGGTTTTGTGTCTGACTAACCTAGAGCTTGGCACAATATAAAGATTATCTACCTATGTCCACACGTAGGGTAGAACACATAGAATTGCTATATGTTTATTTCTGTCTGTTCCCAGTGCAAATTTTTTTTTCAAGTAGGGGAACAATTTTTCCTGTTAGAACCACCAGTGGAGCCATCTTCAGCAAACATGTTGAGATTTCAGAAGCCTTAAATTTCATATCTGGGAGCTAAAGCATTGGCCAATTTTTTTTTTCACGTTTTTTTTTGAGACAGAGTTTCATTCTTGCTGCCCAGGCTGCAGTACGATGGCATAGTGTCGGCTCACTACATCCTCGACCTTCCGGGTTCAAGTGATTTTCCTGCCTCACCTCCTAAGCAGCTGAGATTACAGGCACCCACCACCATGTCTGGCTAATTTTTGAGCCAGAGACGGGGTTTCACCATGTTGGCCAGGCTGGTCTTGAGCTCCTGACCTCAGGTGATCTGCCTGCCTCAGCCTCCAGAGTGCTGGGATTACAGGCAGGAGGCACTGTGCTGGCCGATTTTTTTAACTACTGATAAATTTGATCAAAGCCTATAAAAATTTACCGAGTAAACAAACAATTGTCCCATGAAAGCAGTACAATATGAAATTATAATACAATCTGCTAAACTTTCATCTTTTCATGAGAATGTTTTCTGGTACCTTGTTTTTGTTTATAAATCTGTACTCAAATGGATAGTTCTAAAAACAAATGAATCCAAATGTGGTGCATCCTTCCCTGATCATCTTGAAGAATAATATGACTGACAGTGATCTAGAAAACTATTATAATCAATCCCCACTTGGGCAAGTGAGTCTTAGAACTTGTTAAGTGCTTTCAAAACACTGAGGACAGATTTTCCTCAGGTTGTATTTAAGGCTCTAAAATTTAAATTGATTCTAGTACTGTCCTTACTTGACAATAGATATCCACCCCCCCTTTAATTGGTGATCAGATTCACCCTGCGGACAAGTGAGGGGTAAAGAAAGAAAACTGGAATACAGAAAATAGTAAGAGATGCAGACCTCAATTTCCTCATTTGTAAAATAGAGGAAATAATAACTCCTACCTCCCAAGATTGTTTTGAGGATCAAGTCCAAAAATGCACATAAAATGGTTAAAGTGGTGGCTGGGACATTATTGTTGTTTTGTAAGTATTTGAAAGATTTAAAGACAAAATGGCAAAGCATATTTCTCTAGGAGAAAACTTCTAGAAGACAGTAGGAAAGGAGATGTTAAATTCCCCTTAATATCCTGTCTATGCTTCTACTCTTGTATTGACTTTGCATTTTATTTTTATTTTAATCAATTAATTATATTCTTTGAGAGCAAGTCTTGCTCTGTAGCCCAGGCTGGAATGCAGTGGCATGATCTCGGCTCTCTGCAACCCCTGTCTCCCGGGTCCAAGGAATTCTGCTGCCTCAGCCTCCCGAGTAGCTGCGATTACCGGCATGCACCACCACACTTGGCTAATTTTTGTATTTTTAGTAGAGACAGGGTTTCACCATATTGGCCAGGCTGGTTTTGAATGCCTGACCTCAAGTGATCGGCCTGCCTCGGCCTCCCAAACTGCTGGGATTCCAGGTGTGAGCCATTGCGCCCGGTTGACTTTGCACTTTAAAGTGTATGTTTCATTTTTAATCTCATTTGATCTTTGCAGCCCTTCAAGTTATATACCCTTCATAGCTGAAGGAACTGAGAATCAGACAGAGGTGAAGACTGGCTGATGGATGGCATGACCCAGTTATCTTGATACCAATAAAGCATGTCAAGAATATCAGCTGGGTGTGGTGGCACATGCCTGTAGTCCCAGATACTCAGGAGGCTGAGGCAGGAGCATCACTTGAACCTGTGAGGTGGAGGTTGCAGTGAGCCGAGATTGTGCTACTGCACTCCAGCCTGGCAACAGAGTGAGACTCTATCGAAAAAAAAAAAAAAAAAAAAAGAAGAGAATAATAAGTACCTATTTTAAAATTTCTGACAGGATGTTTAGATATTACCTAGTCCATTTTCTTAAGTTTCCAGTGCAGGAAATTGAGCCATTAAGTGATTCAGGGATTCAGGGACTGGCCTAGGGTCAGAAACCCATTTAGGACTAGAATCCCTGTTCTCAAGGTCTCAGGTCAGCTTGTGGAGTTCCATCTTCTACAGTCTCATTCGATGCTGTCCAAAATCCAACCCCTTCCTGGGTCTGCTTACCTCTCTGACTTGATCTCCTGCTCACCCACTCTTGCCTTCTCTATTCTAGCCACGCTCCTTCCTACCTCAGGGCCTTTGCAGGTGCCATTCCCTCTGCCTGCCTTGCTCTCTCTCTTGGACTTTGCATGGCTGAATCCTTCCCAACATTCCAATTTCAGCTCAACTGTTACCTGCCTAGAGAGACCTTCAGTGACACTACACTTTAAAGTAGAACACATGAGTAACTAGCACACCACCCCCTTTACTCTCTTCATAGCACCTGCTATTAGCTAATTTATTTTGTTATTGGCTTCCCTGTTGTATTAGTCCATTCTCACGCTGCTAATAAGGACATACCCAAGACTGTATAATTTATAAAGGAAAGATGTTCAATTGACTCACAGTTCAGCATGGCTGGGGAAGCCTCAGGACACTTAGAATCATACTGGAAGGGGAATCAAACATGTCCTTCTTCACACAGCAGCAGGAGAGAGAGAAGTGCAGTGCCAGCCAGAGAAATGCCAGATAAAACAATCAGATCTTGTGAGAACTCACTCACTGTCATGAGAACAGCATGGAGGTAACTGCCCCCATGATTCAATTCGCTTCCCACTAGGTCTGTCCCACAGCATGTGGGATTATGGGAGCTACAATTCAATATGATATTTGGGTGGGGACACAGCCAAACCATAGCATTTATTTCTGTCCCTCTGCTCTGGAACATCCCCTCAATGAGAGGAGAGGCATGCCTATCAAGCTCATCTCTGCCTAGAGCTATACCAGAGACAGAATAGATCTTCCATACACATTTATTAAATGATTAAGTAAGGAATCATGTTTCCGTTAAAATTTATCACAGGGAATGCTCAAAATATTCACTGGCAGGGCTGGTAGTGAATGCCCAATATAGAGAGTACCAGTACATGGAGGGAGAGATAGAAGAGGAAGCTCCATCTTTTGGGGTTGGTGAGCCCTTGAAGAAGACTCAGGCAAACGTATGGAGGCCTTATTCTGTCTCAGGCACTCTTAAAAGCACTTTGTATATATTCACTCATTTAATCACACCAACCTGTGAGGTGGAGACAGTTATTTTCCCATTTCACAGATGAGGAAAGTGAGGCACAGGAAAGGTGAAGTCAGTTCTTTAAGGTTATACAGTTCATTCATATTAGAGCTGAAATTTAAATACAGGCAGGAAGTGTGCTGCTCTCAGCCTGTGTGGTCTCAGCCAACAGGGTTAGGTAGAGAAAGGATACACTAGATGTTAGGTTGCTGAGATTTTCCTGAGTCTTCCTAAGGGCTAGGTGGACTTAGCTGGCAGAGATTGGAACCAGGTGGCCTACATTGTCTTTCCTATTGTCCCGTAACATCTAATTCTCTTCCTTTCATTGTTCTCTCCTGGCCGGGCAATGGCTGGTCTCAGCACTCACCTGGTGGGCTTCTTTCATTTGGTTAAGCAACTGACGGACTCACCTGAGACGCCGGGCGAGCTTCCTAACTCTGGATCTGTCTTCCCACCGCAGGTACTATATCAGTGAACAGCAGGCGCACGCCATTCACCGCCAGTGGGGAGAGCGAGATCCTGGACCTGGAAGGAGACATGTACCTGGGAGGGCTGCCAGAGAACCGTGCTGGCCTTATTCTCCCCACCGAGCTGTGGACCGCCATGCTCAACTATGGCTACGTGGGCTGCATCCGCGACCTGTTCATTGACGGGCGCAGCAAGAACATTCGACAGCTGGCAGAGATGCAGAATGCTGCGGGTGTCAAGTCCTCCTGTTCACGGATGAGCGCCAAGCAGTGTGACAGCTACCCCTGCAAGAACAATGCAGTGTGCAAGGACGGCTGGAACCGCTTCATCTGCGACTGTACGGGCACAGGATACTGGGGAAGAACCTGCGAAAGGGGTGAGTCGGCCTAGGGGGTGGGAAGTGAGGGCCTGAGTGGGGCTGATGTGTTACAGTTGGATCCCTGGACAGCCCGAGCCTTTGCACCTACCTGCACTTTCTTTCTTCCAGCAGTTTTTGGGTTTACTGATTAACCGAATGCACCCTTTCTAGTTCTGAATGCTTGGATTCGTTTGGCTAAGATTGGGTTGCCGAAAGGGAAGCTTTATAATAAATATTACCGTGATTATGATACTTTTTGATTAAATACTTTCTATTTAGACAGGGTAAATAATTCCCTTTTGGGGCTCCAGGGAGTCTAGCCAACTGGCTGTTTTATTCATTTATTTGACTTGTACTTCTTTAGTGCTTTTTACAAGCTAACACATGGGTTAGGCTTTAGAAGCACAATGTTGAACAAGACAGATTCATCTCTGTTTTTATGGAGCTTGCTGCCTAGTGGAATATTTAGCCATTAAATAACGGATTACAAACATGGTGGGTTTTATAAGAGGCAGAGTGATGTATTGGTTAAGAGCATGAACTCCGGAGCCAGACTGGGTGAGAAATCTGGCCCTCATGCAGTGATGTGAGTTTCAGCATGGTAGTCAATATCTTTGAGACTTGATTTCCTCATTTGTAAAATAGAGATAATCAGGCACCTACCTTACAAGATACTGATGATGATTAAATGAGTTAATAGGTTCCTGAGCATTTAGTATTAGTGATTATTATGGTCATAATTATTGTCATCAACATCATTAAAGAAAAGGTATAGAGAAGCTTGGGAGGCCCTTGCAAGGAGACCAACATACTCTACAGGTTCACTGTATAGTGAGCAACGCTGACACAGTTGAGGACCTGAACAGAGTCCAGAATGGATTGGATGCTTTGTTCCTTTCTGGCAACTGTCCAGAATGGAATTGGGGAACTGTGGGGGTAGGAGGAAGGGCGTGAGAGGGGACTAAAGAGATGAGGGCTGACCCTATAGACCAAGCCAGAATGCCGGGAGGATTCCCTTTTCATTCACCACTTCAGTATCTGACATTTGCACCCAATTTACAGTTTGGGCAAAGGGCAGAGATAAAGACAAGAAGAGGGCCAACATCAACACAAGGAGATTCCAGGCAAGCTATTTGGAGATTGCAGCTTGGTCTATTTTTTTTTTATATGCCAAGCACACAGAATCAAGCTGACTATCCGTGGGCTGTCAGCTTCTATATTCTACGAAAGGATAATTTACA